AACTTCGTTCGGGATTGTTTATTTTTCCACTGCTTCCCCAGTCAACGATGTCCTAACATTTGTGTGGACCCCGGGTACAGGGCAGAGTGTCCAAACACTTGTTGGGGAAAAACACAGCAGAATTGGCCCTCGGTAAAAGGCAGAATTTCCTGGCATGTGTTTTGGCCCCAGGCCTGAAGTGTCTGACATGTGTTGTGGCCTCGGATTCTTGACAGTTGCCTTAGCCCTGGGTTTCAAACAGAACTTACAAACGTTTCTGGACCCGGTACGGTGCAATATTTTCTGAAATGTTGTATTTGTGCATACCTCAGAATGAAGCTGGTTGCTGATGTCACCTCATGGTTGATCTTGACCTCGATGACCTCGCATGAGCTTTGCATTGAGTACACATGAACGGTCTGGCAGAACGGATCATTTCTCCCCATCGCAACCATTCGAGACATGTTTTTGACATGTTTAATCGTGTCTAAACATGTTTAATTTTGATTTCAAAGTTGATGACCATAAGATTGCATTGCTCAAATGCATGTGTATTCATGTGTAAAACATGTATATTTCTGCTCGTGTTTAAAATTCGTGTTTAAAATAGGCGAACGTGTCTAAAAACCCTAAAATCCATGTTTAAAAAGCTGCGGATATGTTTAAAATGCAGTTCGTGTTTAAAATCCAGCGTGTTTATTTTCAAAAATACTGTAAAATACAGTACGCGCGGCTCAGCTTTTTAGACGCGAAAATTTTTTAGACGCTGTGGTTATTTCCACAGTGCCGCACTCAATATTTTAGACGCGCCCTCTGATCTCTAGGGTGCACCGGCATGGTCCGAGACATTGTGTGCGTCCCCTGCACGTGCTGCCAGTTATCTGCACCGCAGCCGCGTCGGCCTGGGCACGGCTGGGCTGTGCTTCCGGTCTCCGTACCACCAGCTGTGACAAGCACGGCTTTGGGTTGGCCCGCACAGCTCCACGCCAGCCAAACTCATGGCCCGGACCTTGACACCGGTGAGGCCGCGGGCCCGAGCCGGCGGCCTTTGTGTAGTCCATGTGGTGCGGAATGGGTTACAGACGTCGCTGTGTTGGCGCTCCGCTCGTGCAGGCGGAAACAATGGGCCATGGAACACGCCCCGATGGCGCTTGGTTTCACATCTTCCACTTGCTCCTTCGGTCGGGGAAAGTCGTGGATCCGGTATCCATATCGCTTGTCACAACCGGTTTCCTCATTGTTTGTGTTCGGTTTCATTATTTGTCCTGCGAGAAGCCGCAACAAAATGTGCAAAATTCTATGCATACTGATTCTTAAGCCCGCCCTCGGCGCTAGGTCCCTTGCTAAGAGTAAGCAAAACAAGAAGTTCGTGGTCGAACTCGGAAATGGCGGCTTTGTAGCATCGCCACTCATTACGCGACGCCGGTTGATGCAATTTATGAATTCCGTTGTTTCTTCAGGCGATGGCGCTTGGTCCCGCATTTTTCATTGGGCGATGGCCGCGAGCTTCATATTGACATTCTCCTCTAAGCGATGGCGGTTTGTCCCGTTGGTTCCTCCCGACCTTATCACCATCCCTCGGGTCCCCTTGGTTTGCGAGTGGCCATTGCGATGCCATCTGAATCGGCAGAGTGACCTGCTCGTGCCAATGCTTTGGTTGCTGCAGTTGGCAACTCGACATCGTCTGCATGGCCCAAGAACAATGTTTATGGAAGTGCTCAGCGAGCGCACGGTGCAAATGTGGCGCTACCTCACGTCCCCAAAAACATGTTTCAAGAGAAAGGCTTCCTGATTCCCGGTGTTGAAGATCCAGCCATGCATTGTTGAATTTGCATTAGATCATGCGCATGCATATTCGCATCTGATTTGTTTTTCGCATATTTTGGTCGCTCAGCACATGCTGAGGTCAGCTGTGTTGGAATCGGTCTATCGCTGTCGCTGTTCGCGCTGGCAGGCGTTCTGCATGAGCTCAATGCTGATCGCTCCTGTCGTCACGTTCGTGTCCAGCACAGCTTCGGGGAAGGCGTGGCCACCTATGCCTCCAACACCATTTTGTTCGACTGCGTGTTGAAAACCGGGCATGGTTCTGGCCTCAGTCTGTCTTCATAGTTGTTTCAAGTTGTTTCGCAGAGGTTTGCTTGACAGAAGAACGCATGTCGTCGAGGCTCTTACGGTCAGCTGATGTTGGACATTCTTGGGAAGCTCTATCCTGAAATTTTTCCGTTTTTGCAGGAGGGTTGACATCAGTTCGACGCCAAGCACGGGTTACATGTCCAGGTCTGGGGCGATGGTCCTCGACATGTTCGTGTTCATCGAGGCAAGCGCTGTGGTTTTAGTCAATGGCATGAAGCATGTTTCTGGTGCAATGCTGTGTCCTTGGCAGGGACTGGGTGCAGTGGCCACATACATAGTTTTCATCATGGACTATGTCCCGCAGGCGGTTGCTCATGTTGCATTGCGATCCTGTAGCATCATAGCACATCATAGCCAAGAAGTTGCAATGAGATTGATGCTCGTTGCTAGGTGTGCGCCTTGTGGGGGGACGACCATTGGTGCACAGACAAGCTCAACGTAGCCTTGCCCTCGGTGTTTGCAGTGCAGCTCCGGAGTTTCGATTTAACATGCAAACTGCCGTGGTGGCTCACGAAGTCCGTGCAACAGGCATGTACACGAATTTTTGGCTGGTTGCTATGCTCCTGCTCGCGTGACAAGTGAGAGACCGTCTCTTTCATTTCAGCGCATCTAGGGCTGCGAAAGCAAGTTTGTGGAGGCGTGGCAGTCCCAGTGACATGTTGCTAGACGAAGCAATTCAATTGCCAATTCAAGAACAGCTGCAAGCATGGGCATGGTCGGGCTATGTCGGGCTCAGAAAACCACAGGCTTTTACCACAGATTTTTCAACTGGCTCAATGCCGCTGGCAAAGCTTGGCAGCAATGGACAGGTCCGAACACAGGTATAGGTCCAATGGTTTACAAGATCGGTGCCAATATTTCCGAGCATGTATCCAACCTTGTGCAGATGTTGGAGCGGCGTATTAAATGTGAGAGCAACACTGTCGTGTCGGATGCCCAAATGTCGCAAATTGCCAAGCGATCCAGTGCGAGAGACCTACCTACCTTCTTGCTCGGGGTGGTTTGCGCCAACACACCGGGCATGTCAGCCATTTACGCCGAAGCAGGCACGGGCAGGTCGGTCGCGTTGTTCGCAGCCACCCTCGTCGCCAGCAAGGCCAATGATTTTTTCGTGGTCTTGTAAACTGAAGTGGCTGACTCCCTGAGACTGTTTTTCCGGATTTCCGAAGTTAGCTCGGCAGCTTCCATCGCGAAGAAATTCATTATCGGTGTGGAGGAGAAGGGCATCCAACTCCGTTTGGTTGTTGACGACGTGCTTGACGGTGGCGTCAGCAGCGATGCATTGAAGGATATCCTCACAGCACTTGCGCGAGATGCGAGTGAACATGGACATTAAGTCCTTAAACTTTTCACGATGAAGGATGAGAAAGTTGCAGAGTCCCTCGCCGGACTCAATGGCGACGCGAACTTTGTCGTGGAATTACAAGAGACAAAGTATGGAGCCCACAGATGGAACAAAACTGAAACCGAGCAGCTGATTCGGACATCCAAGAGTTCGGATGGGATGGACACAGCAGCAATTTTGGATTCTTCGCAAATTCCCCATGAGCTTGGCGGCTGGAGACCTCGCGATACGAGTACGAAGTTGTTCCTGAAACATGGTCAAAAGCCTTCGCAGTACCTCGGTGCCATCCACTGGCTGGGTGCGGGAGCTAAGCCGCAGGGATGGCAGTGATGGCTGCGATCCTGTTGGCAACCCGTACCCAATCGACCCACACAGCGCCGATGAGGTTTCACCAAGCCGACAATTGTGAGGGGCGGTAGCCTGAACTTTTGATGTGGCGACCTGTGTTTGGTATGTTTTACTCGAACAGCGCCGGTCTACGTCGTAGTGCTTTTCAGTGCTTGCTTCCCTTGCTTGCTCGCATCGAGCTAAGGACAGGATGAAGATGCCGCGACCGATAGATGAGCAGTTGGTGTAGAAAGGCAGCATGCGCCACCGCGGCAGCTAGTCCCGGGTAACCCACCCCCTTTTGAGCGCCGCTTAGCACCACTTCTGACCGCAGTCGCAGAAAGGCGCGTGGGGAAAAACCAACTTCTATTCAACGGATGTATAACTGGCGGTTTGATCTACAGGTGTCCTGTACGGGTATGCAGTTGTAAAATAAATTGGGAGTTCGAGATACTTACCAGCTGAAAACTGTCGACAGCACCAACAGACCAAGACGGCGATTGCCTTTGAAGCCCAAGCCCCAGACAAAGTTTACGTGCCGAGGCTTGGGCGACAACCGCGGTGGTGTGGCCTTTGAGCTGTCTCCGCGGTTTGTCTGCCCTGAGGCGATTTGCGATGCACATAGGTTCACAGGGTGCAAAATTATCGCGATTGATGCCTTCCTGGCGGAGGTATACATCCACATGCAGCATCGCCACCATTTTGTTGACTTCCATTGTTGTTATCATCAAGGCTTGGTGCGCACGTTCTCTTGAGCTTGGAATTTATTGGAGACATTCATCCCGAGCACGGGTTTTGATCTCAGATATGCCAGGCCCCAGTTCACTTCCATGCGAAGGACGCCTCGCTGCAGCATGTGCTGGAAGAAGCGCCTGGCCTCAACAAAAAAGTGTTGGGGCAGAGAGCCGCGCGACTTGCTTCTACTGGGTGCTGCATGAGCTGAATATTCAAGAATGGAAATCGACATGTCACAAGGTCAAATGGAACATCAGCGGCTTCCAGGCACATGTTGCAGTTTTTGAAGTGCGAGGACTCATTCTTGCCTTGCGAAAATTGTGGCGTTCACCATCAAGTGGTCGGCGCCCTGCTCGATCAGGTGCTCTCCATGGCATGCTTCGCCTTCATGACGCAACCTGACGAAGACCCCGGAAGACTCGCAATTATTGGCAGGTGTCCATTCTTCCAGGTCCACAAGCCCAACATAGCACCGAGCATGGACTCAAGTCTGAGTTTAGGCACACCAACTCGCCAGAGATCGCACTGCGCTTCGTCGGCGGGCCACGACTTGCACGCAAGGCGGGCAGTTGCTGCTGCAGACTCTGTGGACGCATGTTGCTGTTGTAGTTCCTCCGATGATGTCAAGATGTTGCCGCTATGGCGCGAGGATTCGGCATGCGGGGTAGCACCAGAATTTACAAAAGCTTTTGCTGTCGCAGGTGCTCACGATTCAAACATGCCTTCTTTGGGCTGTGTACTGTGCCATCGCTGTTTGTGGCTATCTGTCTTTCCTGGACGACATCAAGCAGGACAGACACCTTCAGCCAACACCAGGCATACGCAGCTTGTGCTTGGAGGTAATTACGGGGAGCGTTGCAACCGTGTGCCAGCGAGTTTGCGCCCAAGGACTTCCTCGTAAATTATGAAGTTCGAGATCGGCTCATCGACGCCCCGCCACGTTTTTGGAGAAAGCTTGAAGATGTGCTGGAAAGCAGATGCACACTACGTGGACGGCAAGTTTACGCATCCCTATGCCCCGTCGTATCTTTGGCCGTCCACATGGGGCAGGTGTTGTGCCGATGTTTGCTGTCTTCTACGCTGGTGTGCTGATCTCGGTATCAGTTGGGTTTGCGGTGTTCGGAGATTCAAGGCGATGTCCGTGATAATGGTGAGGTCGTGACCGGAAGGCGAGTTCCGCCGTAGCTTGATGAAGTTAGAACCCTCAAGCGAGCTGGCCCCGCCCTGCAAATTCACACACTTGCTTTCATGTTGCAGTGCTTCAGCGCAGGCACGTGCTACAGTAGTGTTCTTTTTCAGCTTAGATGATACAGTTCCCGCATGGCCCCTGGACAAGACCAATGTCGTTTTAGGTAGCGGAAATCCCGATCGATGATGGCAGATTCTGATGAGCCAAACTGGATGACTTCGTCAGGTTCGCTTGTCCCATCAACATGTTCCCCGCGATGCAGGCAGTCTGACCCGGCAGTTGTTCGGAGAAATGTTATTTCAGGAGTGCTACAACAAGTGTGGCCAGGTCAGCACAACTGTCGTGCAGCACTGGCACTGTTAGAGTGCCTGATGAGCGGTCGGCGAGTGCGGTGATACATGGTCCCCTCTCAATTCTCAATGTAATGGGTAGGCCTGAAACTGAGCCCATCTGAAACTCCTGGACCCTGGCAATCCTTGGACATTTGCGACAAAAATCAAACAGGCGCTTTTCAACATCTTGGAGGCCTTGCGTGGGCCACAAGCTGAGTGCATTGTGATAGGCAGCGGAAGGCAAGTTAAGGCTGCTTGCAGGGCGGCCTAGCGTGTTAGCGTATGGTAGCTTGCTAGACACGAGCGCAGAATATGAAGCTTGCAGCTCATGGGTTCTGTTTAAGCTTTTGTTTTCCCAGCGCTTTTTTCTACAGGGTTCTCCAGTAGCATGCTGTTTTCTCTGGGAAGTACATGGTGGAAGACATTTATCGTCCATTAGAATCATTATAGATTTAGATAGTGATTCATTAGCAAGGCTTCCGCAGCGGTATACGGAGGTGGTCCGAAGATTAAAGGTCCTTTCTCACGGATCCTTGCAGTTTTGATTTTTATTTGAAAAAGTGCTTAGATGGGCTTATAGTGTTTGGGGCTTAGGGTACCCCGCGTGCAGCGTCACCCTAACTGGCTCCCCCTGTAGTAAGGTTGCTGCACGGAGAATAGTAACGATAATGCAGCATGCAGTACGACTTTTCTACAATGGGCGCAGCTCGAAGAACACTGGATTTAGAGCCATCCCATCCCCATGAAGCACAGCATTGGCACCAAACATGTCAGTAGGATTCAGTAGGTCTATCTGTGCACAGACAGGGAGAGGAACAGAAGAAATAACAAGCAACCATTTGTATGACAGTGTGTATGTATGTATGTATGTATGCATGCATGTAGGTATGTATGTATGTATGTATGTATGTATGTATGTGCGTATGTATGTATGTATGTATGTATGTATGTATGTCTCTATGATTCTGTATGTCGGTAGGTAGGTAGGTAGGTAGGTAGGTAGGTAGGTAGGTAGGTAGGTATAGGTGTGTGTGTGTGTATCTATATATATATATATGTCTGTGTGTGTGTGTGTTGGAAGAGATCCTGCAGTAGGTGCACAGTGGCCATGACCCTGCCGTCTATAGCCGAGGCTTGTTTGAGGCACTCCTGACGTGGATTCTGTCCGGGAGCTGGTTGTTGATTTCATAGAGCCACTTGAGATGCTCAGCAGCGCGGTGCGGATGTGGAGCCAGCACGACCCTTCATCGCGCCGAATCCAGCTCATTGTTGAGGACATCCTGCTTCTGTTGGACCCGGAGCTCGCATGCGACACCTTTTAGCGACCACATACCGCCCCCCCGGTGGTGGAGTGTTGCGCTGACTTGACGGGGCCCTTGGACTTTGGGTTTCCATTCGTCCTGTCCGGCTGTCCCGTCACCTTCTCTCTGGATTTGCCGCCGTGTCCTGCCTTTTGTTACCCCTTCTTCATGGCGGTGCACCGCTGGCCGCAGCGAAGCGACAAACCGCCTATTTGCGATGTGGCAGGGTCCCGTGTGCAGCAATTCTTGTCAAGCCGGGGAACCAATCCCAACGTGGCTCATTTCTGTCGAACCTGCAGCTTGCTTGACTAGTTTCACCTGAATTCAAGTGTTTTTGTGTTGTGCAACAGGCGCGACCAACCGTCTTTGAGCCGGCCGAATGCATGAACAAATATGTTAATAATCTACATATATATATATATATTTATTTATTTATATGATATTATATATATATATTTATGCACAAGCATACATTTCTACATTATGCATGTGTGTGTACATGTTGTACTTATCTCAAGCTCAGATGATCTCAGATGCCGAGAGTTTTCTGCCCAGAGCTGAGGAAGGCGCCTCACGAGGACTTGCTCTGAGGGTTCGGGAGGGGATTCTGCAAAGAGAGAGAGAGAGAGAGAGAGAGAGAGAGAGAGCGAGAGGGAGTCGTACTGTTGTGCTGACGAACCCCCCGAAAGCCCCATGAACGATGGGGGGCCCCATGGGCCGGGGGCGTAACGAGCCCCTTGCACCTGAAGGAAGAAGAAGAGAGCGAGAGAGAGCATGAGGGAAAAGGGGCCTCGAAGACGCGCAGACCCTCGGGCCAGGGGTCTTTGACCCCACACCCCATGCAAGCAAGCAAGAAAGCGTGAGGCGAGAGCTGCTGCGGCTGCTGCTTCTTCTGCTGTTGCCAAAACGTGAGGGGGCTTCGTCAAATAGTCTCCAGGGTTAAGGTGCTGGCATCATGTCCCGGTGCACAAAGGTTGCTGGGCGGCATTTCCCAGCTGCTCTTGGAGAAGTGAACGATGGACAAACCATGCAGAACAGTCTGCGAATGTCATGTATAGTGTCTGTGTTAGGAACCTCGGCAGGAGCGTTTGTACGACATGCACCACGTGCGAATTCCGGTCACCACGGCAGCCTTTGCGCTGGTGCCTGGGGGGGCCTGTCACTGAAATGGGCAGTTGGACATGGCTGGCTTCTAGATGTTTACAAAATTAAGGCGTGTGCGCATGCACAGGTTCTTGCAGGTTCCAAGGCGCTGTATTCTACTAAAGGTGCCAAGCAGAGAACCACAACGGCGCACGTACGAGACATGAAGAGGCATTAGCATTGCAATATATCGACGTCACACAATCACGCGATGTGCAAGCTCGAAATGCTGCTCCTGGCCGCCCTGAGTGCTCCAAATAACCTGAAACCGTGAAGCTTTCGCCCTGCTGGCGCGTTGATGGGCGAACCTTGTCGGTCAGTCTCGGCTTAGGACCGGTGCTGAAGCGAATCAGTCGGAGTCGCTAGCCATGGTCAACCAGAAAGCTCAAACCCTTTCAGCAGCAGACCCAGTCCCAGAGTCATTCTTACTCCATCAATCCCTGGCAGACTTTGGGAGTTGCGTTGAAGTCACCGCATGTCGCCGACCTCATCGGGTCGCCTCCTCAGTTTCTGGACTTTCGGATCCCGAAGCTTATGTGATGGTATGCTTTGCATGTATATGTATCTGATATGTGTACATTGGCAAGTGTGGTGATTTTCGTCTGCCTAGAAGTCAAGGACATTGAGTGCCTACTTCTCGTCGCCGCTGATGTTTGCTTTTCCTGCCATAATGCCGCGGCCCTGGCAGGGCATCCATTGCCCTCAGCACTCTCCCGTCCGAAAGATGATTTACTTGAGAGCTTGCAGCCTCCACCGACTATCAAGCTTGAAGCGGCCACTGAGCGAAACATTTGTCGCCAATAACGCCGACGTTCATAGGCAAGCCATCTCAACACCTCACGTGCTCTGTCCCTTTCTCCCGTCCGAAAGGAGCATAGGCCTTCATGCGATTCAAACCTCCGCTGTCATCTGACAAACCCTAGGCCCTAGGTCCTGAACAAAAACCCAAACCCCTAACCCCGAATCCTTGCTGGGCGGGTGGGAAAAAACCCCGAATCCTTAACCCCAAAAGGCGACACCCCACACCCAAAGCCTTAAACCCTAAACGGTCTCGTCTGCAGCTCATAGTTGCGAGTCCACACCCGAAGCCCAAAGCCCAACACTAACCCCAGACTTGTCGGCTGGACTCAGCGCCTGCCTTGTGCGAGTGTGCGAGTCGAAACCCAAAACCTCATACTCAAAGCCCACAGCCTCATGTCTTCTGATGTGCGCGCGCAATTCGCCCAGCGAGGGATACACCCTCCTTGGTTAGATATCATAGAACAGTATACAGTAGCAATGCAATTCAGGGTGCGCCGTTCCAACGCAGACATGCTAAAGTGCAATTTGTGGTTGTCTTAATAGCAGGCGCCATATTTAGACGCCTGGCAAGAAGCAGACAGTTCGAGCCGAGGAGCTAGAATTGGAACATGTGCTGGCTACAAGCACAGACGAACAGTGAGAAAGAAGCACAATAAAAGCAACAACAAAACTAACAAAGCGCAGACGAGTGCTTTCTGTAAGCCCGACAGCGTAGGATTTAATTTCTTGAAGCAACACAGGAGGCAAAACTCTCAACGCTAGATCCTCCAAAGTCTAATCAGCCCTAAGCCCGAAGCTGTAAAACAAGCCTTGAAGGAAGCCCTAAAGCCCCAAGCCTTAACCTTAAATCCTGAACTCTACACACTAAGTTTCTCCGAAGTGCCGAGGCACTGGAAGATTCTTGGGCGCCAAGACATGGGCCTGGATCTGACTCTCTTGTCGGGGTGTGGGGTTTAGTGGGGGTTATAGGGTTTAGGGTTTAGGGTGTGGGGGCCAGTGGGGGTTGGTTGGCGGGTTAATTATAGGGTTTATAATTATAAGCTTTGGGTTTAGGGTTGGGTTCAAAAGGTTATAGGGTTTATAAGCTTTGGGTTTTAGGGTTGGGTTCCAAACACGGGGTGCAGATGAAGCAGCGAGTCAGGTTGGACTTAAGGCTAGCTGGTGGGGCTAATAGAGGAGGAGATGGGTAACTTACGCTGTGTGCAGGCTTCATGGGGACAGCACTGCATGAGAGCGTCAACATGGGATTAGAAACATGCCTTCGGAGCCCATATGCTCAAAGCATGAAGACATGTTTCGTGGCCATGCAAACCCGAACTACAGTGTAGCGTTGGGCCCTCGGCAAGCCCGGCTGCTGCACTCTCAAACTAGCCGTGCACATACGTACTTTTGTGACATGCGCAGTCCTTGAAAACGCAACGAGCGCTACAAAGAGCCAACAACTTTGCACACTAGCAGCTGCTATTGTGCTACATCGTGCGAGCCTCTGACCAGTTGAGGGCACAGAAGGTCTAAGCCGGCCGTCACCTGAGCCGTACACTTCCATCTCTAAGCCCCCAATCTGCAAGTCCTCAACCCCAAGAGTACCTTCATAGCCTTGCAACCTTATAGCCTTGAAGCCAGCCACTGCATGCCATGGCGGCCGAAGTGGACTCAGAGGAGTTGTTGGCCAGGCCTTGGTTACTGCTTTGGGGGGGACGGCACCTTCGGCTTGTGCTGTGTGTTCTGTTCTCCGTTGGCCGTGTTATGAGTGGGAACAGGCTTGAAAAAAAATTCTCGTAACTTCAACCGCCTTGTCCCATTTAGGAATTTAGGATCGAGCCCTGTCTTATGATGGTTTGAGACTCTCCGGGCCACATTGTGCGGGCTTCGAGGTAGCAGTCAGATGGTGCTTTTTGCCGGAACCCCTTGGCCATATCGATGGCAGGTGCATCATCCCGAAAAGGGATTCTTGAGAATGCACTTCCCGGTCAGGTGGGTGCGAGCTTTGCCGAAGGTGGAGCTACACATCCATCTGGATCCTTTGCTGCGAAATTGCCGGGAGTTGGACGAAGCCAGAGATGTGCAAGAGCCTGTTAGCTGGCTGGCAAGATACAGCCTTGTGTTGCGGGGCTTTCCAGGCACAGAACTGAGCTGCTTCGAGACTCCGTGCGCGTGTTAGAGGCACATTGGTACACATGTCTTCCCGGCCTGCTATACTGGCCGCCCTCATCCCAAGATATGGCTGAGGACGGCTCTTTTGACCCACCGCTGCTTTGGGAGGCGCAGCGCTGCATGGGCCATTTCTGCCTCTGCCACACGCGCAGAGTTAACTTCCCACCATGTGCTTTCGACGTGTGGAAAGGCGGCACAGCGAAATCGCGAGGCCTTGCCTGAGGAGGTTCCATTAGGATGGGAACGGGACCTGCTATCCGCCGTTTGTGTCTGTGCTGCTTACTATTGGTGTGGATCGCTGCAACCCTGCCAGAGTCTGCTGCGCCCGTGAGTTGTTCGAAAGCTGTGCTGACGAGCGCTTTTTGCTGGCTCTTGCTGGGCCTCGCCTGCGAGGTGCAAAGTGCAGTTACAGGCAAGCCCATGCCTGTTCGATCAGAGATCGACAACTGCACCTTGGCTGCAGCTTACTACTAAGGCTCGGGCCGTCGTCCAGTCAGCCACAGGACATATTCATATCATGATCCATTTAGCTTTATGGGTTGTTGGTTTGTCAATCCCAAATCACAAGAACCATGCAAAACGGCGCTACTGTAAGCCGTCAGCCGGCTGATTCGTCAGGCTTCATCCTTGCACGCGGGCGCCCGCTCATGGCTCATTATGTCCAGAGACACGGTACAGGTACCGCTAGCTTGACCCCGTTCTCCAACACCCTCTGAATCCAAAACACGTGTATCGACTAAGCCCCAAGGCAGCAACAGACTGGCCAAGGCAAAAACCTCGAGGATTTTCGTCGGCTCATCGTCTGCAAAGGAAAGGGATCTCTGCAGGCGCAACGCTGCAAGTGCTCAGGGTTCGCGGTATACGGACTGAAACACGTGCACACACGGAGACAAGCCTACTTTCTCGCTGGTTTGCCTGTTTGTCCACTAAAGTACTTACTCGACTGAAGATGTCCGAGTTTGCAGGCTTCTTTCACACTTACTCGCTTACTGCCACACGTACTACGACAACAACCAAACCACAACACCAGCAGCGGCCGTTGTGGCAGCAGCAGCAGCAGCAGCACCACCACCACCACCACCACCACCACCACCACTGCTGGGCCACGACTCTAGCATCAGCAAGCCTCTACGAGGCCTACTGCCCCTGCTTCCAACATTGATGGTCTTGCTCGCCCAGCGCATGCAAACTAATCGGCAAGAGTCAGTAGCACACTCGATGACAACATCATCGCAGACTTGAAGAGGCCAGACACCGATCCAGGATTCGAGGAGCAGTGTCGAGCAAAACAATGAAGAACAGCAGCCAAGATCCTAAAGCCATTTACACTAGGCCGGACCATCTGAGCAATCCTCACGCCTGACAGCAAATCCAGAACCTGACTCCTGATACCCTCAAGCTCAAACTCTAAACTGCAAGCGGCAGGACCTTAAGCGCCATATCCGGTACGCTACACCCTGAACCCCAAACCCCTAAACCTGATGGGTCCGAGTTGTGAGAGCGTAAACCTGATGGGCCACCAGAGTTTGCCAGGAAAGTTATGCTATCCCAAACTCCTTCCATTCCGAGAGACCCGTTGGAAAAGGGGGCACAGCAAAAACCCAAACCCCCGCTCAACTTGATTGTGTTGTCAACAAAATGCGTAAACCCAAAACGCAGTTCCCACCGGCATTAGGCCATGCTGGATTGTTTCAGCCGACTTCTGCCAGCCGTGCGTGGAGACCTGCAGACCTTGGAGGCCGGCTATGAGTTCAGCTGGGTCTCCACTAATACCATTTTGCCTTTGAATTTCGGGTCTCCTTAATCAAACCAACATTAAGGAAAAGTGTACCCTTAAGCTATGATTCAGGTGCTATTCGAAAGGGGACTTAGTTACCCTATTTGCTTCTTTGGCTTGGGTTTGTTTAGGGTGTGGGGTTTCGGCTTTTCCACGGCGGTTGATGATGCTGGTTTCCGGGGCAGTATCAAGAGCTATATACGTCCGGCGTGCAGCCTAGCCGCTACAGCTGAAAAGGCAGTAGAAGAGTGTGCGCTTTTCCTACGAAGACTGAGGATTCAGAATGTCCCATCCCTGCGTATGGCGCAACAGAGTGTGCGAGCTCTGTGTCATGAATCAGGAGGAGTATCAGTGTCAGCATTGTGTCACTCCTTCCGATACGAAGGGGCCACAGGCCAGCACGAATAATTTAGCTACGATACGACAACCGTGTCCGTCGCTTGCTGATTTCAGCAATGGGACCCACACACACACACACTTGAAAGGCAGTCTAGAGTCTAGAGTCTAGAATGTTCACTGAGGTGACTCGTAAACGAAGATGAAACACGCAGCATGGAGGTCATGCCCAGCGTAAATGAGGACTTGAAGCAAAAGGCACCCTCCCTCGTGGATTCAAGCGAACCGAGCCGTGGTATAGGTTATATTATCGTGATAAGTAGTTCGCATACTATTGTATATCATATTTTATATATTACATTATATATATATACACAATATATATATATAGATAGATAGTTTATTCTATATTGTATATTCTATGTCCGGCTCCAAGGAGATTGGGGTGCGCTTCGTCGCAGCGCAGGCCGCGCAAGGCATCGCATACACGGAGGCCACTGGCAGATAACGGCCGCTTTTTGTCGTTTAGGGTTTAGGGTTTCGGGTTTAGGATTCGTGCCTGCAACTGTAGCATGTATGCTACAGTCCCTTCCCGATCACATTTGTCTTGCTGTCAACTGACGTTCGCTTTGGCTATGGTTCGTGCATCGTGTCGCTTGCGATTTGGCCACGTTACACGCTGCTCATGTTTGACTCGGCGATGGGATTGAATTCATAAAGCAATCATTCGGCCCGGTTTGGGCGACGCGGTCTAGGACTAGGAAGAATACCAGCGTGCAACCCGTTTTCGGATCATGTGGCCGCTGCTCCTTCCTACTAGTACAACGATGACGACGACTGCTACTCCTAGCGGTGGTTTTCGCGAGCACTACCACGACTATCAGCAAGGGTTGCTGGAACGGTTCTTGGTGTCTTCCTGCTGTTGTACTGCCTTTCTTGTTCCGGCTTCGGTGCAGCACTCGTGCTTAACGATTGGCGCTTGGGGTGGTGTCATCGATTTTTTGATGCTTTGCAGTTCTGTTGCAAATACAGGTAAGTACGGCAATTTGCACTTTAACATGGTATGCAGCTTCTATCGAACGGCTTTTGCTGGCCAAGTGTGCACGTTGAAGGTTGGTATGGGCTGAGGTTAATTTCTTTCGCCCTTCGGCCCGTGACGTGCTGCTTGCAGAGCTGCCCAACTGTCTCAACCGGCACAAGCCGTTCCGAAACACTCCAAACTTTTCATCCCCTATAAACTCCATAAACTGGCGCACAGGTTCGCTACTCTCCCCATCTGCTGACTGGGGGTGACATCTTCGGACCTGGACAGGCAAGGGTTGGGCCGAAAAGCGCTAAAACCCGCATCGGCTGCAAACTTACATAGATCCCAGAATCTTGGCCTTGCAACTTCAGTGCAATGCCCTATAAACCCTACACCCAATCCCTACATCCGAAACCCCACGCCCGAAAACCCCAACCGCCTGGATTGGAGCTTACTACTCTGATCATTGCAGTGGTCTTCCGGGTCAAGATCCGAGATTGCCCCGAGATGCGGCTACATGCGAGTGAATCTAAAGTCTTAGAAGTATGGAGCAGTCCAGTAGCCTTCGTAGTCGTTGAGCCCAGAACCCGAGGATCCTTAAGGAAGCTTTTTTTACAGGATCTTGGACCTTGGGTTCTAAGTCCGCCAGCCAAACCCCACGATACGTATAAGCATCGTGCTTTGGTTTTCAAGATCGTTGCTTTCGAGCGGGATTCTTATCAGGATGAAATTTGCGGGATATCGAAGACTTGGCCTTTGCAGCGTCCTTTCCGAACAAGATGAAACGTATGTCGTGCTTTGCGGAAACATATCTTGCGCTCCATTTTGATGTCTCCTTCAATATCATATGTCTCCCAACTCCCTATTCTAAACCACGCGCTCGAATTTCGGCATCTCAGCATCTCGGCATCATATCTACTATTCAATAATTTTTCATGCGAAGTCTGTGCGAAGCGTCGAACCTCTTGTTTACTCCTAGTTTGGCGCACTTGGCATTCAAAGTTGGGAGTTGAGTGGCATTTGCCTAAACCCGGAACCGTAGTTAGGCCTTGTTTCCTATAAGTTGAGTGGGATTTGCCTAAACCCGGAACCGTAGTTAGGCGTTGTTTCTTATAAAGCAAAGCCAAGGCTTCAAGACCTTCACCTGGGAGATTCAAAGGAGTGCCGAAGCTCGGGTTCAGAACCCCAAACCAAAACCACAAGAACACACGCCCTGAAACCCTAGACACCAAGAGCCCTTAAAGGAGAATCCTGTATCCTAAACTCGAAACTCTCCAGCAGAGTCGAAACTCGAAAGCACAAAGCCGTAGATTCGAGGTCGTTGACCCCGAGCCCGCCTTTGCTGCCGTCACGCGCGGCTTGCGCAAGGGCTGCGTCCGGGCTTGCGGTTTCAGATTTTTGGGCCAGGGATTGGGGTGCAAGTTTTACGGGTAATCTGCCTGTGTCTTGGGTCAGTGGTTTTTGTGGTTAGATAGTGACAGGAAGCGATCAAAACGGTATCTGCTTCTGAATGTTCTAGTGCGAACTGGGGTTTCAGGGGCCGGACAGGCGTGAACAAGTCTTTTCTTTGCGTGGCATTTCAGAATTCCAGTTCCTAGAAAGGGTCCAAGATTGCGAGTGTGCGGGACAGGTCGTGGGTGAAGCTGTCCGATGTAAGGTTCCCGGCAAGAAAAGACAACCGCAGGCTCCCACTTTTAAGTGCTGAGTTCCCCACGGTTTGCGTCAGTGACCAAGCCACGCACATATACGCACATGAGGTTCCTGAACCCTACAAAACCCCACAGCCCCGGAGCCCCAAATCTCATAAACCCCAAAGCCCTTAAGCCCGTACTTCTCAAGGCAAGGCCCACGGTGTGGCCGAGTCCTTAGCTGCGCCCAGCTGCTTGTGGCATGCTTGGTGGGTAAGGATGAACGCATCAGTTTATGATAGCTTATATGGTACTAGGTGGTTGTGTTAAGTCGTCCGGCATTGTGTAAAGTCGACACCGCAGCGGCGTGACCTTGGGGATTCCCACTGAAAACAGATATGCACCTCAGCCTGGAGACATGCTTAGTGGTCAGCCCGTGGCGGCGTGAACATGGGGATTCCTGTTGAAAGCATATGTCGATTCCATGCCTGGAGATATGCAAAACGGTCAACCCACGGCAGTGCGAACGTGGGGGATTCTCAATGAAAGCAGAGACCTCGACCCAGCTGGGCCATATGCAAGAACCATGAAACGAAACATTGTCCCGACGCTGTTGTTGGGCTGACGTTCTAGCGGTAGGCTTAAGTCGTCCCTGCCGGGGCGAAGTCGTCCCAACCCCATGTGCCGCAGGGTTTGGGCTACTTTTCAATATCTCTATCATATGTTGTTTCCCATCCAGTCTCTAGTTTCTGCGCGATCCAGTGCTGTGCGCGGTCTTTCCTTGAGCCTGGATATGTTGCCATGCCACTTGTCTCGAGTTGGTGCTTGCGTTATCGAGCGTCTACACGGGGAATGGCTGGTTTTGATTTGCTGTTTGCTGCTATGCCACTGATGTGTTTCTTGAGCGGCTGCTTGCAAAATCGAGCGTCTACATGAGAATTCGCTGGTTTTGACTTGCTGCCGATGTGTTGTGTTGCCACTGATGTGTGTCTCGAGCGGGTGGTTGTGGAATCGAGTGTCTACATGGAGACTGGCAGGGTGCTGGGCGCACAGATCCAGTCGTTTTCGAGGTGCGGCGCTGGTCCTCCTGTTTATAAACTCTTGCTATCCGAAACAGTCTCGGTCACTTTGTTTGGCTGGAGATGCACACCTACCTCCACCTCCGTACACATGTGCGCACACATTCACACTGTCTTGCCCTTGAGCTTGTGAACCGAGTGTCTACATCGGGATTGGCTGGTTTTGTCACCCGTCGAGAAGTGTGCCGGGTATCAGGCAGGTGCTTCCCAAATCGAGCGTCTACATGGGGAATAGCGGTTTGTGTGGGTTGCAGGTTGCTGAGCTTCGTTGCTCTAGGGCTTCAGTTTTTGTGCAGAGTACCACATTTCGCGTTGATCATGTGCATCGGGCGGTGCTTTTGAATCCTGGCGTGTACTTGGGGATTCCCAGTACTTTTGACTTTGTTTCGTTGCTTTGTGGCTTCAGCTTTTTTGTGGAGAGTTTTACATGTCGTGCTGATTTTGTGCATCGGGCCATGCTTTTGAATCCTGGCGTGTACTTGGGGATTCCCAGAACATTTCACTTCGATTCGTTGCTGCTTTAGTGTTTGTGGAGGGTTCCGCATTTTGTATCGATTCTGCACATCGGGCCATCCCCGAGCAACCTGGCGTGTACTTGGGGATGCCCAGATCTTTTCACTTCGATTCGTTGCTCTATGGCTTCAGTTTTTGGTGGAGAGTGTGGCATTTCGTATCGATTTTGCACATCGGGCCATCCCCTTGAAACCGAGCGTGTACTGGGATATTCCCAGATCTTTTCACTTCGATTCGATGCTCTATGGCTTCAGTTTTTGTGAGAGTGTCGCACGGCGTATCGAAATTGCACATCGGGCCATCCCCTTGAAACCTAGCGTGTACTGGGGGATTCCCAGATCGTTTCACTTCGATTCGTTGCTTTATGGCTTCAGTTTTTGTGGAGAGTGTGGCGTTTCGTATCGATTTTGCACATCGGGCCATCCCCTTGAAACCTAGCGTGTACTTGGGGATTCCCAGATCTTTTCACTTCGATTCGTTGCTCTATGGCTTCAGTTTTTGGCGGAGAGTGTGGCATTTCGTATCGATTTTGCACATCGGGCCATCCTCTTGAAACCTAGCGTGTACTTGGGGATTCCTAATCTATGGGTCGACTTTTTGCGGGTGGGTCGACTTCACACGAATCGAGGCGTGTACATGGGGGTGGGTCGACTTCACGAGGGATGGGTCGACTTAACCCCGGCGCCTGTATAGTCTAGTTTATGATGTCTTATGAAGTAGAATACAAGCCATTGTGCATCGTCGAATACCATTAATACAGTAGGGTCTGTAGGCCGTAAGGTGCTAAAGATGGTTGTGCCTAGGACCGACGGGGGCTTAGGGCTTATAAGGGGCTCGACTGTCGGTGCAGTGGCTAGGATTTGGGATTTGGGTACGCCCGACTCGTGACCGAAGGTTGTGAACCAGATCATTTGCTGCATTTCCTTCCAGCCGGCCTGGTCCATGCAGTGCGTGGAGCTGCTCTGCTCAATTGATTCGGCGTTTCGCTGCCTGGGCTTCCCGGTTTTCGCGTTTACTGACTCTTCAGGCTGGAGGATGTGAGCCCAAAAAAGAACATGCAGTGACTGAAGAGATTGCAGCCACGACAAAGACGGGTATGTCATACCGAGGATGGCGGCCAAGCATCGGAAGGACTTCCCCTGCGCAGTGGTCGGCCTCGATGTGGCTGCCGGAGTCTTTCGGCTTGAGACGAAAATCCCGAAGTCTAACCCTAAACCCAGGGTTTAGGGTTTATAGGGCCTCGAATGTTTGTGCCTTGAGCAATGGATGGCGGAGTTTAAAGCCGTGCATGCATCCTGAAGCGCCGAGCCTCTGAATTGAAAGAGGTTTCGTGATGCAAGCGAGGAGAGAGCAGTAAGTTTTGCGAGCAGTCTTGCGAAGCAGGTGTAAGCCCGTGGATGTGAAGGAATTTGGTGATGGGTGGATATGCCTGTTGCAAGCCAAAGTGCTAGCCACTATGCTTCGACGTACCAGCCAACCTCACCCGGCTTGTGCCAGATGTGAGCGCTGAAACCCTAAACCCTGATTCCAACCTTCACCGCAACACCAGTTTCTGCGTCTTAGACTCTCCCAGACATCCCGAAATCTTCAAAGGTTGTGTGTCCAGCATCAGAAATGCAATCTAACACACGCCCCGGCTCTGGTTAGCAAAGAGCCCTTAGAGCAACCCTTATAGGGCGCTTAGAGGGACCCTACTCTGATTGCTCGGGCCCCTAGAATCGGATAAGCAGTGGTCCCTAAACCTAAGCCCCCTATTCCTTAGCCTGACTCAGTTTGCAATGGGCACACTTCCAAAAATCTTAAACCCGATCCTACACCCTGAAGCCTACATTCGGTTCCACAGTGCTCCCAAGGAGGTGGGCGATGACCCCAAAGGCCACGAAGACGCTTTCGGCTTGGCCAAGGTCGGGCTCCAAAAGTTCCAGTCCTAGATCATGCCCATTCCATATAGCACCGTATTTTAGGTAATAGTATGTTTTAGGGTTAGATGCTATTTGCAGCAATTCGTGCACCTCGATTAACTCGGCGAATCCTAGCAGTCTTGGTATGTCTTAGTGCTTTGCTGTGTTTCGGCTTAGAGCTTAGAGCTTTGGCTTGGACGGGTTCAAGGCTTGGGTCTGAACATGAAGACACTTCAGCTTGTTTAGACTTCAGAGGTTGCCACTGTCGTCCTCGACCTGACGAATCAGCATTATCAGCAGCAGCATCACCATCACCATCGTCATCATCATGTCGCCATCGTCATCAGGTCGTCATGATCATGTCGCCGTCGTAATGTCGTGATCACCATGTCGTCATCGTCATGCCGGCATCGGAACGTCGTGATCATCATGTCGTCATCAGCCTCCCCCCTCAGCTTCAGCCAAGTTCCAAATCCGAAACCCAACCCTTCCAAATCCTGAACACAAAGTGGATCCCAGTTTGGTTTCTTGGTTTTGGACCGGAGAGCCAGAATCAATCCTCTCGTTCATCCACTGCGCGTTGTTTCTCTCTCTGTGCCTATCTGCATGCACTGGCGTCGGCATGCTAACAGCCAGCCCGCCAGATGCACATGCAAATTGCATGTGGGATCATGTAGCCACAAAGACGACAAAGGCCAACCCACGGAGAGTCTGAGATTAAACATGTCAGAAGTCGTCATATCTCGAAGCCCTGGCATGCTCACGGGAGGAGTTGGGCTTGAAGATCACGGTGCACGCCGGCGAGGTGGGTGGTCCCGCCGCTGACCTGATTTCATGACGGACAGACCTGGGGCCTGCATTGTCCCAGAGAACCCAATACCCCTTAATTAAGGAAGATACTTTAAATCATAATAATAAGGCCCCTATAATATAAGGTATATTCCTTAATTAAGGGGCATTGGGTTCTCTGGGGTTGCTCTTGGTGTTGGGGAGTTCATGTTAAGCCACGCAATGGGTCTTGCTTCAGCAGGGGGAGGTTTTGAGACTTTGAGCCCAAAACATGTTCGGTCGGGTAGAGTGTGCAGGCAGGAAGAGACGGCTCAAACTCGGCCTATAGACCTAAGCTTGGAGCGCGGCGCACACAGCCTCACGCCCCCAAATGTGCCCGAACCCTGACTGCTGGACCTCCAAAAAGCTCAGGAAAATGTCCGTCATGCTGTTTTCGACTTCGGGGCACATCGGGTCGGCCACGGCTTGCTGGCCTGAGTTGTCTTGAGAGCAGCGGGTAGGGCTTCTAGAAGGGGGGGTTCGTAAATTGTCGGTCCTATCTGATAAAAACAGGAAGGTGCCTTTTATCCAGGAAGCTATAGGGTTCAACATTAGTTTTGTCCCTTGCTGTCTGGAAGCTTGAGAGCCCGACAGCAGAGTGATCCTCCTTGTGTTGGGTAGTCCACATACCAACAGTATGGACGCTGTATGGTGGATTCCCGTCTCTGTAGATAGGCGAATACAAGATCCCAAGAAACCAAAACCATTTTGTAGTGTACCTAGACCCTTAAGTGTACGTAGTACCTTTTGTAGGTTACCTTAGCTTCTTATTATAGGATCCTAATCACAAAGTAGGTCATCCAATAAAAGGTACTACATTGAAGGGTCTAGGTAGTATCCCTTGCGTCTGCTGGCCATGGCTTTCTGGTTGTGGTTGGCGGCGGTCTGTGATGTCTGGATGATCGTGAGATTCAGCTTGCAAAAGGCAGGTGGCTTACCCGAAGCTCCAGCTCTGAGCTGTACATCCCGGCCCACAGGGTTTAGGGGTTAGGGCCCGCGGTAGCAATCCCGACCCATGACTCCGTGCCTGCTTTGTGTGGAATGAGGGGCCTATGCTTGCACCACTGCAGGGTTCCGGCTCCAGGTTACGCGATGACGCGGGATGCGCCTGGGCTGGCGGAGATTGTCTGCGAAGGCCGAGCTCCCCAAATCCTGAATCTCCAAAACCCTAAGCATCCCTAAACCCTAAACCCGTCCTCAGTCGAGGTTTCCAGTTCGTGTGGAAGGTCTTCCGCTTCTCCCATCACCTGGGACATATGTAGACAAGGAGTTGTAAGCTTGGACAAGTGTGGACTCCCAACTTGCATTGGGACTACTCAGTTTGGGTTTGCAAATCTATGTGCCAGGATTGCAAGCACATGATGTAGGTTGGTCTGCTGAACTGCACACCGATGGTTTTCGAGCCCTGAACTCTAAACCCTGACTGTCCGACGTTTTTGGGCTCCAGGCTTCGTTTGCCTGCGAAATTCACAGTTATACTTGGTGTGAATTCCGGATTTGTACAGCGAGAGGCTGCGCTCAGCCTTACTCCAAGTTTAGTTCTACGCTTGTTAATCCTTACTCTCGATGCTGCTTCCATCGCTCACTCTTGTTATTAATTTAGGGTTTAAGGGTTTAGGTCGTTGTTTGCTAAGCCATGGGCTGGCTCCACTTGTATTGGTTTGCCTGGGTGCTGGCCCTTCCTGGTCTGCCATCTGCCCGGCGCATAGCGGATGTCGCACGGCAGGCGGAGGCAGCACACCCAGCTTAGCTTTAGGGCCCAGTATGCCTGAAGAGGTCAAGGTTTGTAGGTTTGAGGTAGAGATGTTTAGGGGTGCGCTCTGGGGCGGGACCGCCACCACCTGCGAAATTTGCAAGTTGGAAGTGTGCACAGCCCTTGATTCAGTGTATCACTTTGAGAACGAATCGGGCACGTCAGATCTGACTTGGTTTTTGCTTGTCGCACAGATTCTCTAAATTTCTTTGGGCTACAGCGGAAGGGGTTCAGTGACCACAATATGTTGCCGTGCGTCGACAACTTGACGTAATGCACCCAGCTAAATGTTTTGCCGAAAAATGAAGGGGTACGTGCGGGCATCGTGTTTGCAGTTTCTTGGTTTGGGGCGTGCGTCCATGCAGGGAGAATCTGTGCGCGCAATGCGCGTGCATTGACTGTGTCGGCATTATCTCCGAGAGGGCTCTTGCGCAGGCACCGGCAGCAAGAGTTTCAGAAGCTAAATTTGAACGCCAACCTAGGTCGCCAGAGTAGCGTCCATGGCACATTAGACTCAGTAGACACGATAGTAATCCTGCAGGAACAAGAAAGCAAACACAAGCCTTTCAACAAGTATAAGTGTTGTCATGGTAGTCAACGCGTTGTGCATGAGCAACGAAAGCGGGCATAGCCCGAAACCCTGAATCCTGCAGGAATCAGACTTCGAAGGGCATGGCAACTCCTGTCGTACCTGCACGAAGCTGGCAGGTCTCAGCGTGACTTGTCTCATCTATGTACTCTACGGTTCATGGCTCCCGGGGATTTGGACCGATTTCTTGTGCGTTGACACTCATTGGACCCAGCCAGGTTGATTATTAAGGCTGCAAAACTCTTGATGGGGATACATGTTACATAGTTTGTCTGGTGCAATAAGAGGCCCAACCCCAAGCCGCGCGGCATGACACATCTCCATCCCAATTTTAAATCGCTGTAAATCCTAAAAGTTCAGTATTGTAACACCCCCCCCCCCCACCCCATTTACCAACCTGAATCGTAGCCGACATCCTTATGCAGTAAATTAAGAGGAATCCATGGCCATCTCCTGGGGCATCTTCCCTCCGCAGCCTTTCCCGGGCTACAGCATGACGCCTGGCAGGAGGGGTTGCGGAGGGCCGAGGATTCACTTCACATTCTCGGCAATGGGTATTTAAGAACTTTTTTATTCAACAAAACAATGGTGATTTTCTAGTGGCTCAAGGGGGCCAGCGATTCACAGTTTTGCTAAGGCTGGGGCAGCGAGCACTTTGACGGGTTGAGTTTTGATTCAGGCAGAGAGTTTGGGGGAAGTTGGGCACCCCGCAGAGCGGGGCTCACAGAGGAGACCCGTACCCCCTCCCCCCTTGAGACTCCAAAAAAGTTTAGGAACCTGCTCTTGAAATCATGCTAAGGATCCCCCGAAGCCCTTAACCCTAAACTCCGCGAGAGGGAAGCATCTCTGTATGAGTTAAGGCTCATTTAAGGCATGTTTCATTTATTGTGGGTTTGGGGAGTCTCCGGGAACGGCAGGAGGAGACAGAAGGATCCAGGGTGTGGATCTGTGGGGTTTATGTTCGAGTCCCTTGTTCGCTGAAGCTCGTATGTAGGGGTCTTAATGATCGGTAGAGCCTCACAGGGTTGTGCGGTTTATTTTGATTTAGTTATTTGTGGCTGCAAGAAGGGAAGATGATCACTAATTCCATTCCGCCCCTAAACCCTAAACTTTAAACAGACCTAAACCCTAAACCCTAAACCTTTAAAACAGACGCCTGTAGACACGAAGCTCAGGTACTTCACGTGTTCTCCCCTCACCTCTGTGCCCTGGGGAGAGCCCGGAGGCCTTCCCAAGAGACAGTGGGCAACTCTCTAGAATTGGTTCAGGGGTTTAGGGCCTTAATTATGCCTTTTCTAGAATGGGTTCAGGGGTTAAGGGGCCTAATTATGCCTGTTCTAGAATGGTTCAGGGGTTTAGGGCCCGATATGCCTGTGAGAGAGGGAGAGAGAGAGGGCCCTGCAACAAAAAGGGGTTTGGAAAGCTTGGAGTCGGACCATGATCTGAAGTCCACCGTAGTCCCAGCGACCTGAACACCTGCAAGCTTCTTCAGCCTAGGTGTATGTATCCAGGACTGAGGAGCAGTAGAAGCTTGTCCCGTCAATCTCATCTCCCTTGAAGTGAGTAGAAGATACAGCTGCGCATGAGAGGAGAGTTTGCATATTTCTAGAATTTGGGCCTCTTGACTGCAAAGCACGGAGTCGGGGAGTTAAGCTTCTCAACTCTCTGCTCAACTCCCCGAGGTGTCGTCGTTCACCCGAAAGCCCTAGAGGAGTCTTCCCTGAAAACCCCGAGCCTCAAACTCCAAAGCCCTTGCTGCGCGACCCAGAGATTCCAATGTTGATTCAAACCCGGAACTTCTGCTCTGGTCCGGATCCAAAAACTAGGCATTTGCACTGTATAACCCCTGTGTGAATTTGTGAATCGCTAGAAGCTCCTTGTCAAGCCCAGAGCTCTCATCTGTTGTGGGCTCAAAGCAGTCTCTTTCCCGAGCTAACTAACCTCTGGCGTGTTCGAGCTGCGAGGGCCTACGCCCTAAAGCCCCCAAATCCGAAACCCACTAAGGGATACTCAGCGCCTTGCCCCGTTTGGGGGATCTTCCGAAGCGCGTTAACGGATATTCCCTAAACCCATTAGGGGCTCTTCAGACTCTCTGGAGACCTGGGCCAGGCTTAGTCGAAGAGGCCATGGGAAGCGACTGCGGTCTTGACATGGCAGAGGCGCATGCAGGGTGCATTAGGGCTTAGGGGCACAGGACGCAGGTCTGAGGGCTAGGTTCAAAGGTTCCTTTATGGGTTCCCATAAGGGTTTTTTGGGGGACCTTGGGTTGACAATTTTGGGTTTTGAAGGCTTTCTGGTTTAGGGCTGAAGGTTTGGGGGTTCAGATTAAAGGCTTGAAGGGTTTGCGAGTTAGGTGTCGGGTTTGGAGCCTGAAGTAACAAGCCCTTAAGGCTCGGTCTTTTCGCGGTTTGCTGGAAGGATGTGTTGGGTTTCGGCTCTAGCAGCATCTGCCCTTTTGTGGAATCCGATCCTGGGTGTTTGCGTGCCCTTGGCTCTCTCCATCTCTGTCTGCCTCTCTCTGTCTCTATCGCTCGCCCCTCTCCCTCTTGGTTTCGCTCTCTAGCTTTTCCTTTTCTTTCCTTTCAGGCCTCAAGCTGTAGGCTGAGTCATTGGAAAGTAGGAGTCTTGTCAAGGGAAGTGTTCTCAAGCAGCCGAGCTCGGTCAACTTCTTTCGTCAGCATTTCTGGCGTCCGACAGTCCGACTGCCATCATGAGCGCAATACTTTGTACTTCGTAATGCCTTGTGTAGGGCGTATATAGGGAGTATAGGTAGGGTTCCGGGGTTCTGCCGTAGGCCTGTCCAACTGAGTGGAGTTGGCCTGTGCTGCAGTTCTCGGATTGTAAAGTGGGAGGCATGCCGAACAGTCGGACAGCATGTCTTGTGGTAGTCACCAAGAGCCACTTGCAAACCAGGTTTAGTCACCGAGCTTCCAGGGAAGGCTCCAAGCTTTCCGGAGCGGCTACTGCTACCAAAACCATCCACTACCACTGGAGCCCCCGCCGAAATCATACGATGCTCAATGGAATTCTAGTACATTCTACAATCCTTGCAGCCTCCGTCTGATCCCGAGAAGGACGGCGGGGCTGATGGCCTAAGCACCAGCGACCAGAAGGCTTGTCGCGAGCAGTACAATGCGACCTTCAAGCGACCGGGCGGCGGTACTGTCTCTTCAAGATCTCCAAAAAGATGTATGTAATATATAACCGACACCAGATTCGACTTCGTCTAGCCCCGATGTGAGGTTTGGGGTTCTGACGATTGAATTTTGTGCTTTTGGTGTTGATGTCGCTGCTGTTGGCTGCTTTTGGCACTTGGCCCACTTTATTTGTTGAACTTTGGTTTCAGGGTCTTGTCTTCGTCGGGCATTGCTTGGATACTGGGGGTGCAGGCCGACTTGATGCGACCGAAGCATAGAGCACAGCTCACAGTGGCCTAGGCAGGCGTCTTCTTTGATGCTTCTAAGTTACGGTCGAAGAGGAGAAAGAAGCTCGAACTTATCTGGGCCCGGATAGTTGCTTGGCGGGCTTGGTGCCGAACCCCCCTGAGACTCTGGCTGTGGCCAGCAATGCCATGGACAACAAGTTCCGGAGAGCTTGTCTTGAGCTTTCGAGGAAAGTCCATGCCCGACGAGCTGTATAGATAGGTTAAGACGGTTAAGAGATGTCGAGCCGAAGAAGCACAAGAGACCGGGCCGAGGCGCGCGACATGGTTGGGTGTCCCTCCAGCCTTTTTGCAGCAAATGGCTGTCTGCGGAAGGCCATGGGACGGTCGGGAGTGCTTAGGCGGCTCCTACACAGAGCTGTGCTCCGAAGCCTTACTCTGCGTTTCAGGTTTCTGGGTTTGACGGGTGTGGTCGCATTTGTCCAGCTTGAGGCCCACCCCGAGAAGAGGTATAGTCGCAAGCCGTTTGTGATTTCTGCCTCGGTCTCGGTCTCGGTGTCTCTGTGTGTGAGTGTGTGTGTGTGTGTGAAGGAAGTTGTTTTCGATCTGGTTGTGGCGCTGATACTAAGTTTCGCTAACTATCTAAACGTTAAACCACCATAACCAGCGCCTGGGAAGTGCACTTTGAGCTCCATAATTACCAGGATTTCTACTGCCGAGTAACCCGCAGGTAGGTTATCGTAGTTTATGCGGTAGTCATATACAGACTCACAAGGCATGGTAAGAGGAGGGTGTGTGGTGGGGCTGTTGGGATTTTATGCGAAATGTTCAGGCAGTTCACATAATAAGCGACCCAAAAAACTACTAAAGTTTGCAATGAGCCAGGTCCTTTACTAAAGGGATCCCTAAGTGGGGTATGCTTAGGATCCGAGGACCACCAGGTGGAAGAAGCCAAACAAAGCCTAGACTTTCTACAATATGAAGGGTGCCTTTGCTTGGCAGGTGAACTCTTCACCTAAACCTCTCTCCGCATCTATAAGACCCAACAACCTAAACCTGTAGAACCCTGAACCGCAGCCATTTTGGCTCGAGACGAGCTCTAACCAGGGTCCGTACCGTACGCCCCTTTCCCAGATTCTTGGAGCAAGCGATGGCTCAGCCGAAGAGGTGCGTTGCCCTGGCGGCCGGCGCCGCTGCAGCAGCGCTCTTTGCTGCCCCAGCCTTTACTGCACCAGTTGTTGCCGAGAGTGCCTCGACGTCCCTCCGTGGTCCGAGCCGGGCCTCCACCCAGGGAGCCTCCACGAAAGTCACCGGTACCACGGTCGCCGTCGCTGGGGTTCTTGCGCTGGGAGCCGTTGCGTCGCGTGGACGTCAGCAGAAGGTTGCGCGCGCAGGCGTCCTCACCAAGGATGATCAGGGACGCTTCCGGTTCGATGCTCCAGAGGTTCCTATCGTCCCGGAGGAGCAGCCGGGCGTGACTAGGCCTTTGGGATTCTTCGACCCTCTCGGCTTCTCCAAGAGCGGTCTCATGACCTTCCCTGGCGACTCCACCGGCTTCAAGCACCTCCGCACAGCAGAGATTAAGCATGGACGTTTCGCGATGATGGCGGCAACCGGATCTTTGTTCGCCCACTTTGTGAAGCTGCCTGGCTTCGAGGACGTTCCCACCGGCTTGGCCGCCCTGAACACCAGCAAAGGTGCTGAGGGCTTCGCCCTGCTCTTCTTCCTCATCGCGGGTCACGAGGCAGTGACCTGGAAGCCGCAGAAGGGGGAGCCCGGCTCCTTTGGCGACCCGTTTGCATGGAAGCAGTTCACCCCGGAGATGCGGACCAAGGAGCTGAACAACGGGCGCATCGCGATGTTTGCGATTATCGGGCAGATTGTGGCGGAGCTCCAAACCGGGAAGGGACCCGTGGAGCAGTTCGCTGGCTGAGCCGGCCATATCTGAGCTCGTTGACTTTTGAATTGGAGTGGGATCTGAGGTTCCTGGCAGCCTGTAAGGGTCTCTAGGGCTTCGGCAGAAAGTCTGCTTCACTCGGAAGCCCTGCTGTACACCCTGCATCCCACTCGTTTGCGACTGGCTTCTGAGGCTTTCGAGCCAAGGATTGACCGGAAAAGAAGCTTTGATGGCATTCATATCACGACTACGAAGAAGAATAAGAACAAAAGTAATAAAATAATTAGAAGAATAACAGTAATATCAACAGTAACTATAGCAACAGTAACGCTAGTGTTTCATTCTGTGGAGCATTTCTGGATCGGTCCCCTGCTTCCTGTCGACACAATGTGCAACTGTGGCCGAATTGGATCGACTGTAGCTGTTGGTTTTGGTAGGTACGTAGTCGCTGTTGCTGCGAGGAAGCTGAGTTTTGAGGCGAATCAGTTCCTGGGTCCTTGTACATTTTATTACAATAAAACCCCAATATGGATTAAAAATGATCATTTTTAATATGGCCCCAACAAGGAACCAGGTTCCATGTGGTAGTTTGGGCTGCGATCCGTAGCCTCCAGTGGCAGTCGGCGACTCCGTGCTTGGCATGGGGGTTGAATTTGGTTCTTGTGTGTATATGGCTGTGTGTGTATGGCTGTGTATGGTTTTGGTTCATGTTAGTACGGAACTATTGAGTTCTGAATGCTCTGTGCATCATACTTGCGTGGTGTGAGTGTGAGAGTCCGAACCCTGAGCCCGGGGCAGGTGCACCGTTTGCGCGGCCTTCTCTAAGGTACGCCACCTGGACGGCAACGGTCAGGTTTACGGGTTTGTGATTTTCGGACGGGTTTAGACTTTGGAGAAATAGTGTTGCGAGGGACGACAGCCGGCAGTAAGTGACTCAAATCTGGAAGTTTCCCGATACAAGGTTCGGAGTGTGGAGCTAAACGGCTAGGAGTCGAACACCGGGCTTCGGATGCATGTTGTATGTATCAGCTCTGATATCTGACAAGCCTCCTTGCCTATATAGCTGCAAGAGCCGAAGCTTGGTCAGGACGAATTTGCGGAGAAAAGGTGGCACATGCAGGTTCTTGTGTAGAGACACGTCTATGTAGTTTTTTTGTCTTTGTGTTTCCGAATTTCATGCCGGTGTGTTTTCAGGTCTTTGGGGCTGCTGTTTGGTCAGTTTGATGTGGCTGCAGCCCGAACCCAGGTAGTCTCTGGCGAAAAATCAAGGCCGCAGTCAGGACATCCGAAGTTGGGAGTTGCCCGAGAGATCGAAGCCGAAGCCCTAGCGATGGATTCAGAAAATAGCTAAACTCCCTGCCAGGAAGGTGGTGGAGAAACTCCAAGCTATCAAGCTGTACCTCTTTGGGCAGCCTGACCTTTCAGGAGAGGAGTGTTGGCTCGGGCTTCGGTCCAGGAGACTGGGCCGGAGGCGCAAGCACACATGTTTAACAGTACTCCTACTACTCCTACTAATATACGACGACGACGACGACGACTGCTACGACGACGGCGACGATGCTACGGCTGCGACGACGACCTACTACTACTGCCGACGACGATTACTTATGTTTCCGCTACTCTCACTGCTTCTGCTACTACTGTTAAATCTACTGCTGCTTCTTTCCGCTGCTGTTCTACTGCTGTGTTCCGGCTGCTTGTGCCACCATTGTCATTACTGCTACTGCTGCTTCAACTGTTGCTACTGTTGCTGCCACAAGTAGTGTTACTAGTGCTACTCCTCCTCGTCCTCCTCCTAGGACTACAGCTTCTTCTACCACACTTCGAGCAGGTATCCTAGAAGTTTATTGCGGAGATGAGATGAGGTACAGCTTTGCTCCCTTCTCCGTCCGTCAGGCCCCTTGCATCGCAAGGGGCTGAATTGGATTAAGGCTGTATGCACTGTAGCTCATGAAGTTCGCATTGGCCTCAAGATGTTTTCGACCTGAAAAACATTTCGGGGATGTTCGGCAGTTGTCTATTGTTCGAAGAGCACACGTGCCCGATAATCAGCAGCTAAGGAGATGCAGCGGCGATTTGATGCATACTTACCCGACGAAAGCCAGCAGAACAGCTCTTTGCTGGAGGCCATCAATTTGCTCTTCTCGACTGATGGCCATGGCCGTGGTTGGGTTCAATCCAATTCTAGGAATGGTTCAAGCTGCGGGCCAAAGGTGAAGCAGTCGGAGACCGCGGAAGAGGTGGACCACATCAGGATGGTGGAAGACGCCTTGTGGAAGCAATTGGCAGCTCGTCGGCAGAGAGTTGGCAAAGTGGTGTTTCGATTTTAGTTTTGGTGTTCGACGGACCTGCCATAAATATTCAACGTAAAGTGCCTTCAAACCCCAGCGTGGCTCGCGCAGACGCAGAGACCAAGTATCGTAAGTTCCGTCTCGTGGTGACTTCCCGATGTATGCGCTCATTTCAAGGAGCCCCACGGCAACCTGCTTTTAGCTCATCAAACGTCTTTGCCCCAGCAACCAGGCACAGAAGCCGCAAGCGGAGGCAGAGCATCACCTGTCTCTGCAACTCGGCACTCGGCACATGTTGAAGGTATCGGGATATGCAGGTCTAGCAGAATCAAAAAAAAGCAGTAGCAGCAGCAGTAGTATTAGGAGGAGCAGTCGTCGCAGCAGCTGCAGGAGGAGAAGCAGTAGCCGTAGCAGCCGTAGCAGGAGCCGTGGCAGTAGGATTAGCGCCCGCTGCCACAAGTATCAATTCTCAAGCAAGCAATGCCAACTGCTTCAAGACGATGGCAGTAATAGCAGCAGCAGCAGGAATCACAAGCACAATGGCCGGCACTCTCACCGGTACGATTCGGTTCAGGTGAGATCCCACCATTCCACCCAAAGCTTAGCCACCCGTGCCGCTGCTCTGCGCTGAGGCTGCAAACAAAGATCGCCGAGGCAGAGAAGAGCGAGGAGGCAGACGTGGAGCTTTGAGGGACCTAGTCGAGTATACTATAGTATGTTGTAGTGTATTATTACACATCATAGTATATAATATACTATAGTATATTATATAATATACTATAGTATATAATATACTATAGTATAAAATATACTATAGTATATTATACTAATTATAATAACTATATAATTTATTATAGTGTATTGTCGTATAGTCGAGCATGTTATAGTATCTGATGCTACTTCGGGCGATCACGGCAAGTGCTGTTGGCGTTCTAGCATTTGCCGGAAAACACTGCCAGATGTCCTTGTGCAGCCGAGCCGTGGCGGCCTGGGCAGGGAGTAGTGAGCAGGCCCAGCAGATCGACAAGACAAGATTCTTAATCAGCCTTGCATTGGGACTGCAGGCTTTGCTTGCGCATGCGCGGCGCACTGTGGAGTTGGAAACCGCGACTGGGCGGCTACTTTCGAGGTACTGCTATTTCTGTAAGCAGCCGGAAGAAGATCGAAATTAAGAGCAAGTACAGGAATCAGAAGCTTAAGCGTCGCCGATCTATAGTGTTCAGCGGAGACGTGTTTAGTCTTTGCAGAGTCCTGGATGCAGCAGAGATCTAGGACTAGAGGCATTGATGACGCGCTGGCAGTAGCACTACTGATACCACGACGAACGACGACTGCAACTGCTGCTTTACTCTTTACTTCTGCTTCGACCCCTCCTGGCTCGCAGCAATGTCCACGGCAGTACCGAGGACATCAGCTTCACTAGATTGTCTTCAGAATGTTTGCGCATCCAACTGGCGAATCATGACATTTGAGGATTCTTGAAAACAAAGTGGTTCTTGCGCCGAAGCTTTGCTACCTATTTACTTATGGTAGGCGCAGGCCTAGTGGTGCAGACAAGGCTCGAACTCTGGATTACTCAATTGCGTCAAGAGAGAGCGAAAGATGCCCCCGCAACCCAGCAAACTGTAGTTTTCAAACTGGACATACAGGCAGTACTGAGTTCCGCTGACGGTGCTCCTACGTGCTTCTGGCTTTAAGATAGATGATACCTGTTCTTCGTTGCTGTCAGTAGCATCTGGTCACACTGAGCTTGGCTCCCGAACCCCGGATCGAAGCTTCCATGGTGCTTGGGGTGCATCTCCGAGGGGAGATTCCGCGATGCTCGCTCTTCATTCCTCTGATTTATCTTTCTCTTGACTCGTCAGAAGGTGTTGTATATTCCGTGCGACCAAAGCCGAGGTGAGGCAACAGCAAGAGTTTCAGCGGAAGTTGCCTGGCATGAAGCACAACCTGGACTGCCGAGAGGTGCATCGCCCATAGATTGGGAGCTGGTTCTGCAGTATTGTTCCTTCAGGCCAGCATTATGTTTATTCAAAATCCAAGTTCCAGTAATGGGGCGGGGACACTGCACGAGGATAGCGTTCCTGGACAATGCCTCTAGTAGTTTTGTTGCAGGGCTTCGCACTTCTTGGCAACATGTGCAAGCAATGTGCCAGGACCTAGCTGCGAAATCAATGCCATGGCCCTAAAGTCGAACCGAGAGACCTCGTCTAGCGGAGTGCGAGTTTCGAGAGCGTAATTGAACCCTAAACCCTGATCCGATCAGGACCTTCTCGACAGATAGAAGCCTTAATCTCGTGTGGCTGTCCTGATACTCGCATGCCTGATCAGCTGCGTATCCCCACCTACGTGCCCGAGTCCGCACAAGAGCTGGGTGTCTTGCTGCTTGCTGCTACACTTCAGTTGTACCTTCGACCTAGGAGTAGCTGAATCATCTTGAGCCTGGGAGGTTTAGATGGGGTCAGCACCTTGCGGTGGAGAGGTGGTTGCAACGAACTAAACGCGAGCCCGGCGGGACAAAGTGGCTACACACTGTCGTAGTCTCGAAACCCTAAACCAGACCTCCTGATTCCTAAAACCGAGGAACCTCAGCCACTACCTTTGTAGTTTTTGGCTGCCGCAGGTGTTGGAGGCTTCCGCAAAGAAAGCTGTCGTATCGCTATCGCTGATTGTGTCCTTCGCGAGCCTGGACTGCTTTATGCTCTGTTGACCTCGTGGGTATGTTGACACTCAGTGTATGCATGC